AAACATCTAACTTGAACCAGTGCTGCATTTAACATACCACATGACACACAAAAATCAATGTTTATCGGTGTTATTTTAATATTTGCTTTTAAATTATGAAATTGAGTAATATATAGTGCTCAAATTTGAATTATAATCTACAGTTCGATACCAAAGTTATTGACATAAATTCATGAAATAGTACTTCAATAAAATTTTGAATGCAAGTCAACAAATGAGATGATATGGCCTTTCACTCATGACCCGTCTTGACAGGGTTATATAATAATAAACAGAAATTAATATCTCAATCAAATAGTATGTGAATTTGTGTTTCACCAGAAGCGAGTCCATTAAAACTCTCCATTATCTGAAATGAATTTAAGAAATTCTTGAGATGTTCTAACAATCCTCACCAAAAGCAGTTCTTCTTATCTGAAAAATGCATGAGACTGTAAACAGCCCCTGCCAAACAGTCCAAGGAGGCTGTTAGTTGATGTGGTATCTCAATTATTTGTTAACAAAATTGAACAATAAGAATTAATTTGTATTGACTGAATTGTTCAGTTTTTCTATTAACAAAACAGTTTTCTGACTAAACTGAAACATGCTCAATGTGCCACTGAACTACGGTGACCTCCAATTAATATGGCAGCCCTTGCAGCCTTGTGTAATATAGAAAGTAATTCATCAAATGCAATTTAGGTCATGATCAAATTTGTTAAAACTCATATTACAAAGCTGAACTTGCTAATAATTAATATTCAATTTTATAACTTAAACTTTAAAACACTGACTTAGTTTCTCAGTTTAAATATTTGATGTCTATATAGAACAATATAGTTTGAAAATGTTATATTACTGCACATGCAACATAACTAGTCTAAGGTCAATTAAAATTAAAGTATCAAAATCACAGCAGACAACCTCAGTCATGCAAAGTGATCTTGTCTTTGTATACAAACAACAGCTGATTGCATTGCCAATGCCATAAACAATAACAGGATCTGAATTCAAAAGTATTTATTTCTTGATAAGAATAAAAGGACCAATAGTTGGCCCAAGACAGTGGGCACCAGGAAATACTTGACGAGGGACTTTAACAAGCACTTGCAAAACTCAAGCAAGTGTGATTGTACTAATCAAACATGAAGGACTAGTACTGTAAGTTTATGTTGGGTCTAGAGCTAAAATTAACAATATCATAGATACTCCATGTTTGCATTATGCTAAGCCAAATTTCTAAATAATGCAAAACAATTAATGAAAGAATCAAAGATACATATCATACACGTCTAAAAGTTTTGAGTCAACAACTCTCAACACTTTTATCTAGCTCTTATTTCTTTCTTCTTCTTACCAAACATTGCCCATTTTTTTGTTTCTATATTTTCTCTTTTATTTAAACATTAATGCTTGATGAACTATAAAACATTCCTGTCTAAGGAACAGATTCTGTTTATATTTAACCTGTTACTTGCCATGGCCATTTTGTCTTATCATGGGGGCAAAATAACATTTGTGAATTGAAAAAATGATAGAGAACTTATCTTTTATTGGATTTCAGATTTTATTTTTGTAAATAGTAGCATAACATTCAATTATTTGTACAAAATTGTATTATTTAATGTAGATTAAAGATAAATTTAATGAAAAAATTCCTAAAATACGTTTTAGACTTTGAATAAGCACCCTCTAAGAAGAAAATGTTTTTTCAAAATTTTTTTAAGATATTTCCTTCCACTTCAGCACTGGTCCTGCCATCTATGATTAGTATCTAAACCTTTTTCTAGTCTGTTTTATTTATAAAACTGCGTCTGGGTGTGTTAAATCTCAATTGTAAAACTTTTATCCAATCCTAGTCGAAGGTGTCAATTTCAGTACCATGTTATCCCAATGGTCGTATCTCACATTTGACAAATCATAGGATGATAAGGAAAGCACGTAACAAAACGTTGTTCT